GGGGGGGGGGGGGGTCTGAAAAATTCTTCTGATGGTATGCTTTGGAAACGCACAAGAGGGAGCTGTCAAATAAACAGTTTGAATACTTCAATAAAGAAGTTATGTAATGTGTGAAGCGTATGAGCGCTGCCCTGATCTGAACTGCACTGATTGATTGATTTTTTTTCCCCTTGTGAAGCTCATCCACCACAGTGGACAGATGTGTGCAGGAATACTTAGGAAGTCATGTTGTACATACTTATTTCATGTTAACACTGCCGACAACCTAACCATATACATGTGTGAAGATGTGATTTTATGGACAGAAAAGGAGAAACGTATGCCCACATTTCTGCATACTTACGATCAAGAATGTGTGAATATAAACACCGCAACAAAAGCAGTCTTGAACACATGTTTTTTTCCTTTCTGTCTCAGTGACGTCTATGCAGCCCACATGTTCCCTCAGACAGGCATGCACACACACACACTCAGGAAACACAGAGATGAGGGGAGGGGCTTTTTGACAAGCTGACCAAGGCCAGCAGAGGCTTTTTGATCAGTAGCGCGGGCCAACTGGGCATTGGGCGTCGACTGCTTACGTAACGGCACCGACTTACAGAGAAATAAATCCCCACTTTATTTCCCACATATGTTCAATTGCACCAAAAATAAACTGGCGCTAAAACCGTGACAAAAAAAAGGAAATGGCAGCTGTGTGAATGAACAAATTCGAAAGAGATACTGACAAACTGAACCATGTCTGGAGAGTTAATTTATACCGTTAAAATCACCTGAAAGTTGAACGAAATGTTCTAGCTTCATACATTTTGTCTTAAAGCATTATACTTTTTTAACTGAGATTTACTTTTCATAAAAAGATCCTGTCCCAGTTTTCATGTTTGGATTCCACACAAACAGGTGACAGAATATTAATAGAGAAGTACAAAAAAAAACAGCACTACAAAGTGTAAAATGTACATAAAATGTTGGACTCACTGCAGAAAGACTGAGATGAGGCCCCAGTGATCGGATGACATCCTCTGTGAGATCTGACTGGTCAGAGTCCCAGACGAAGCCTATGGTAACAATCTCTGGGGAGTTCATGAGGACTCGTCTGATCCTAATCCTCTGGCCACAGTTGCTCTGGAAAAGAAAAACATGAGGAAAGACCACAGTTTTACCCAAAAGCAAGCTACAGTCAGTAAAGAATAATATCAAAATATTTGAGAATCACTACATTCCCAAACACATTGTTCTTTCAGGGACCGTGAAAAAAAAAAAAGCTTATTAAAACACTTTGCATCGACCACTTACTGGACAGTTACGAAGGTCTCCTATTGTACTTGCTGCTTGTAACAGTTCCCCAAATGACTCGTCTCTGTGCTGAAGCGTCTGTTGACTGAGAAAGAAGAGACGCGTTGTCAGCAGGAAAGAACAAGCAAAGAAGAGGAAAGGAGTCAGACAGAGACAAATAAAGATTAAGGTATGTGGAGAGAGAAGAAAAACTGTTGTGCGAAATGTCAGCTAAAAAGTTAAGTTGTGACAAATGTGCAGGGAGAGACATGAAAAGCAAAAACAGAGTGGAGTGGGACAGATGACAACGAGGAAAAGCAAAGAAACTTTCATAGTGCCTCTGCCTTACCAGAGTGCGGTGGTGGAGACATAATGCACTAGCTCGGTAAACGGCAGTGGGTCGGAGGATGCCCCACAGCTACGGCACACAGACTGCAGAGGGGGAGAGAGTCGGAGACCACGAGAGTGAAAAACACAAATAAAGTGAGTAAAATACACAGGTATGATTTCAGTGTGCATATCTGCTGTCAAGGACTAATTATCAATTCAACATGACATTTTCCAAAAAATGGAAGATCAAAAATAGTCACAATAAATAAATGAAAAAAACTCCATAATTTCTTATGACATGCTTGTGTTACAGCTTTTCTTGTAATACGTTTAAAACTGTGGGCTCTGTAGTATCCCTTTAAGTCTCCAACTCAAGTGATTGACATTATCAGACATCCAATTTAATTTATGAAGTTATCAATCTCCCTCTGACCAAGGCAATCCTCATTTAAGGCCTTGATAATATTTGCTGGATTGGGTGCCCTGAAGTTGAGGTGAAATCCACTGACTGTGCCCCTAAGGGATTTAGTCCAAAGGCGTATTATCTGTTTGATTCCGAGATAGAACTGGTTTGGGACAGGGACAGGGGGAGTCAGTGATGGGCATCACAGCCACAGGGCAGGGTGGTGTGTGTGTGTGTGTG